AAAATAATATAGTTGTATTTTATGGTGATAATTTTACTTTACAAGTGCTTATCGGCTATCACAGCCTCACAGGTATATAATATATAATATGTACATCTGTTGTAGAAGTTTATATATTTTTTAAATTATTATCATGCCTTTTACGATAATGTCGCCAACGGTAATATCTTATGTATATAGTATATATAGTGATCCTTGTAATTAAATAATWWAAAAAAAATTATGATCTCATTTCTAACTGTASAAAATGTAGATTAGCTAACACCTTCTTGAAACGTCTCCACTTCAATTTCCAAATTCATCGCAATCCTCTCATCTCCTAACAGTCCTAACTATTTGTTTATATTATTACCCTGGCGATCCCGGAAAATAACAGAATTGGAAATGATGCCGTGACCTCCAATTTGAATAAATACTCTCGCATACCAAGACATTTCATTAATGGATAGATTCTATTATTCTTCGTGCAAGATTAAAACATAACCTCCTACTAAACATACGGTCACTTTCGCTGACAGGTTGTAAAATATATTTATAGTGAACAGAAAAAAAAACTATCATGATAATGAATAAATAAATATAATTTAATGCTTTAATTAAAATAAATTAAATGATTATAAGGTACAACGTGAAAAAAACATTTTTTCAAGTCTCAATTGGATAATTTGAGAATATAAAACGTGGCACGTCGTTGTTGGAGAAGTCGGATGGTGTTTGGGCCGTGGTCGAAGAGTAATACGAAGTCCCGTATTTTTGTTGTTGTTGTTGTTGTTGTTGTGGCTGTGGCTGTTGTTGTTGATGATGATGTTTAGCATTTTCACCCTTACGCACTGGGCACAGGCACGGTACCCATTTCACGTCGGAATTTAAATGAGTTTCAAAGATAGATTGCAACTGAAAAAAGACAATCATTTGTTCACCAAATTAGACATAGAATCATAGTATACCTAGCTKTTATCTATTTTATTTTATTTATTTATTTTTTTCAATATGAATAACAAATAATTTAAACAAAAAACTTCCATATACAATATAATGATATATTGTATGATATTCTTTGTTGGCACAAAGTACCGTAATAGTTCGAATGATTATAATAATAATAATATAAATATAAAAACAGTTAAAGGAGAAAAGGCGAGAATGGCTACTATGACTATTTACATACCCGTACTTTGGACAATGCATGCGTATACCTATCCAATGTACATCTATATATATATATATATATATTATAGGTATGCCAATAGGCGTATTTTGCACAACATCTATGGAAATCACGCTTTCTTCGAGAATCCCACATTTTAATTCAGTATCATTGAAATAAAAATAGTAAAAAGTAAGTAAGTAAATAAAATAAAAGTTAACAGAATGAGTAGTTGTTGTTCGGAGAGTTAAAATCTATATACATATAATACGGCCGAAGATATACGCAGAAACAATGGTCCTTATGAAATCAGTCGGTGGGATCGCTTGGCAGTAGTAAAGAAGACTTTAACGAACGATTGAAAGGAGCTGACTATCACAGACATCGCAAAAAGCTAAACACACGCCCATCATGTCAATTAATATTATTGTTTAAAAGTGGTGTAGGTATCATACCTAAGGTATRTACGCACTAGGTAATACGCAAAAACACGCGTACGCGCAGTTATATACGATAAAACAAAAAATGTAAATCGAAGAAGAAAGCCGAGATTCCTGCGTATAGATTGCCTCATTTGATGTGGCGGGAGGGGGTGAGAAATAAGAATTTGAAAATATCACGTGTAAACGACTAGTATATACCTATATATTGTTTAAATGAAACAACGGAGAATATAATGATACAATAATCATAATTTATATAAGACATATAACTATATAAGTATATACTTATACTCTTATATATGTATATATATATATTATGTGTGTGTGTGTGTGTGTAAATACGACTATTACTGCAGAGGCACATAAATATATTTCGGTCTACTGAATCGTCTGAATCTATACGGAGGAGCAGTGCATAACCTGTTATTGGTATACTTCATAGCCGTATTACAAGTAAATTATACGCTCGAGCTATACGGTGTACGCTATTACGGAGTGGAAACACGACGTGAAATTCTAGGGGGAAAACTCGATAATATACTGATATTGTGTGTACCTAGTATCTATAATTCCCAGTACCTACTACCTATATAATAATGTAGTAGGTATGTATTATATACCTATACAAACCATTAAGAGACGTGCAATGCCGCTATACCACGATTAGGATGCTGCAGTGAGCGTTTTAATTTTACGACTGTCATAACGCGGCGCTGTGTGCTCCGATATACATATACATACAATGTATGTCATACATACATTGATACAATGATACATGCATATRTATATATTATTAAGAAAACTGTCAGTTGACGTAGTCGTTATGGTATTGTCACGTGTGGATGGGACGTATTTTTTTTTAATGAATATAGACTGACAAAGAAAATACAAATATACAATGCTAGGCGATTCACTTGGAGTGCCTTTACGGATATACCTACGTTGAAAGTGTACCACCGTGTGCTCGTAAAGGTTGTGCAAGAAGCCATCACAGAGTTGACAAATCCGATTTAGATCATGACGAAGGACGAACTATCTGTATTAATAATTGATACTTACACGTTATTTTTGTTTTTGATATTTCACGCGTAAGTATTCAACTCCCTAGTATTAATTAAACTAATTTTTATTTACATATTATCATTTTGCTTGAATCGGAAAAATATTTGAATGATATAGACAACTGAAATTAGCGTCCCTGATGATTCAATGATTTATTATGCTTCCTCCTATTACTCGAATACTCATAAACGGGTATAGATAATATTATGCGTTATTATAAATACGCTACAGGCATAATATCATATTTTATAATGAGTTAAAGTAAGAAAATCGGTAAATACGAACCATTTCTGGTTTTTAAAAAGTGCAAGACAAAGTGCTTGTAATTTAAATGTATGCAAATAGGGTTTATAATTTTAAAACTAACTATAAATCAAAAATGATAAATGACCCGAAAAATGAATCATTGCTATAATTGATATTACACTTATATGCTAACACATCCACTGTGGATGATTTCCAAAAAGTTAATAAACTAAATTAATTCTTGTGCTCGGCAACATAATAGAAAAGTATCAAACAAGCGTGGGATCGATTAAATTCTACAGCAAACGTTCGCATTAATTGTAGGTACAAGTCCACATTGTAAATATAACTTATCGAAGGGAAATCGAAACATACGTATATATACCTATATCTATCATCAGATAAGTATACGCGATTTCACCGAATATCGTACCTAAGGATTCCGAAGTTTGTGCAAGTACACTCAATAATACACTATATGATATCGTTTAACGCAATCCTATATAATTACGTCGATAATCCTTTCGCATTAAGCATATAATAACAAAAGCTGGTGACAATATTTAATCAYGAATAACATTCATATATTTCATCCCTGGGAACGGGCCGGACTCTCACGCGGAGTGATCACCGAATCCATCTACGTATACACTATACATCACTTGCTATATTATCGGCGCAAACGAGCAAAAACAAGTAGATTTATGACGAATAAACGTGTGTGTATGTGTGTGTTAGATATAATAATAATATACACTATAAGAAGGTATACGCGGGAGACTTGAACGAGCGAAAAACCCTCTTCGCTTTGTACCTATTTTTACTATACTATAAATCTCACGGTTACAATCGGCACATCCGCGCGCGCTATCGGCGTTGTGAATATAATATGCGCGTATATAGAGGCATTACGCAGATACAGATAGATAGGTATTATAGGCAAGTAAGGTATATATACACAATGTACATGTAGTACCTGCACGGACGAGAAGATATTATACCGCGTACATGTCATACGGCTCGCCGCCGGTCGTGCTCGTCGATTTCTGCTCTCTCTCGCGCGTCTCGTTCAAACCCATAAGCATACGCGCACAGGGTTTGACCTTCGGTGTCACTTTCTTCGATCACGAACACTGAACGGACACAACAGCTCACACACACGTGATTATTATATGCACGCCGCACACGTGGAGGCTTCGGAAACGGTTTAGAATAAAATACGAAGGTGTATAATATTATATTATATAAAATATAATGTATATAGGCTGCAAAGTATACGGGAGAGAAGAAAATTACCTATACATAAATATAATAATATATAGGTACGCATAACAGGCGCATTATAGAAAATCTCTTTTAGCTTTTTCATTCCGTTGTCGGTTTTTTTCGTCCGCGATCCTCGAACTCGATAAACTGCTGCAGTATACTCACGGCGGCGTACACACTACACGTATCGAGCTTATTATTTATACACATGTACATCGTATACACATAAGGACACGTATGAGAAGCGCAGCACCCCTACAGATGAGATGACCATGGTAACGATAGTATAGTATCACTAATTAGGTATAGACGTGATATTAAAACATTGACGATCTATAAAATATTACATTGAAAGCACCACGAAAACTCGCCCGCCTACAACCGATTCACGAGATTTCCGAACTGCCTTTACACGACACTGATATAAATGAAACATAAAATGCATGGCAAAATTATAGAGCATTATTATATAGTATATAGTACATTTATATATATAATAATAATTGTAATAATAACTATATAAGACGAATTGACGAATGTATATATAATAGTTTGACTATTTAATACTATATATAGGTACGCGCGTCATCCACCCATAATGTACGAATAAATGAAATAAACTAATGTATGTTATTCGAGCTTTTACCTTTGTAATTTATATTCTACCAGCCTATAGAACATTTTGAATTTTGATAAACAAAACGTATCAATACAAAGTATAAGCCTTAAAAAAATGCACAGTCATAATATTTTATCATATTATCAGTGATATGAATACAATAAATGTGAAATAAATATCCTTAAGCACGCTTACATCGTAGAGGGCGATTAATTACAAATGTGGTGTAATCATCTTCAAAAACCATAATTAATTTGTAATCATTGTCTGAATTTAACTCCTTGTCGATTAAATCAATTTCACACCGATAGTCGAATGAACGGTGTAAAATTGGTTTAACGATAAGTCTCTTTCTCGGCATATTACACTGTTTATTCGGGTGATCTTGAATTTCCTTGAAAAAAATGATCATAATATATCATATAAGTATATGATTTAAGGATCGTATTTAATATTTATCTCATGAAGTCAGTTCCTGGTTTTATATGTTATTAATTATTTTTGCGCAGTTAGGCGTAAATATATTAAGATACCTACCTATACATTTTTTTCATATTCAACTGATAAAAATGGATATAATAAATCCAATATTAATAATGTCTTATATCAACAAATTAAAAATTAAAAATACATGTCCTATCGGCAGAGGTTAAAGTGGGGAAAAATTCCAGAGGGGACTGATGTCTCCATAAAGTTTTAAGCGTTCCATATATAATTTTAGGTATAATGTCTAATATATAAAATCCTAATTTGTTAAAGGGGACGCTTTTTAACCGCCGTCAGAGGTAAGGGGACTGAGTCCTCCTGCGTCCCCCTCCACTTTAACCCCTGCCTATCGGAACACCCAACGTTTTGCCGATATTTATTGATATTTCGACATTATAGTTTATAACTCGTTCCAATAAACACATATTTTTAGAACATATTATATTTAAATTAAATTAAAAAATCACAAAGCAACTAAWAAAACATATCATGAAAACTAAGCATTATATCAATCATAATATTTTAGTTCTGTAATTGTCTATCGTTTACCAAACTATTATAGACTTAAAATTATTTCCGCAGTGTTGAACGGATAAAAACTAAAAATTGTCCACGTGAACGCATGAAGTAAGAATGAACAATAAAATATTATTAAGTATTCGATAAATAGATCACTAACACAAACGTCTAAATAGTAAATTATGACATATTATTTGTTAACGTTTATAAATTTATAATATGATGAGTTATAATAATTTATACATTTTAAAATATTTGAAAGTACTTTAATTAGCAGTTTTGGATGTCAACCACTATGATGCTTAGTTTAAACACATTTATTTACAGCCTACAGACGCTCCTTAAGGCTTAGACCATAATACGAGTATAGTAGGTATACTAGTGGCACATTACTCAGAACGTAATGAATAGTCGGCAGTTAATTTTCTCGCTAGACACGCGGGTGATGATTTACACGCACGAGGCACGACTAACAAAAATGAAAATTGAATTAAATCGCGTGCTTAAATGAATGACGAAACATTGTAACATCTATTCGATGATTTGATTCATTTAAATCAAATGTAAATTCACTCGTCACGCATTGCGTACAACTACTATGAATATAAGTAAACGTCAAACGACAAGCATTTAATGTTGAGGATATGATAAATACGAAATACGTCCTATTGTATATTATTACACGTCATAAATATGATAGGAAATTTATCAAATGAAAATTAGAAGATGTTGCAACTGTGCAAATTATAAATGTAGGTAAATATTATATATATAAATATTTTATATATATAATATAATAATATATACCTAGCGTTATTTACTAAGTATGTATGGTGACCCAAAATTACATTCTTGTTTTAATAATAGTAATATATATATATATATATATGTATATTAAAATTTTAAGCACTCAAATACGTAATCCATTTATAAGCTTATATTTTTAGTTAGTCATTAAATGTAATTAAAAAAGTAAAAACATCTACCAAACACTACCTTTACCTAATGAAAAATGAAAATACATATTTTATTATACATATTTCATATTATGTAAGTGTGCCAGTTAAACATAATCGGGTCTTTATGTTGTAATAAAATGCAGAGATTAAACTTTAAATGGTCAGGTCACAAAACTTTTAATATTTTATTGAATTAGTTATAATAATATGTTTAATATTATTAAGTTTTGAACAATTTTTAAATTGATTGCATTTCAATACTGTCCTCATCACTTTTAAGTTTTAACTTAAATTATGCAAAAAAAAATATATATATAAATAATACTAGATATAATTATTACCTTTTGGTGTACAGGTATAGGTACGGCCGCTTGATTTGGTACAAAATTGTCACTAGATTCTGCTGGCTTAAACTTCATTTGCCACCAATGTGATTTTTCTTTTTGTGGAACTGGCCTATACAAAAATAATATGTACTGAATTAATTGACGAAAATATACAATTATTGAATACTTGTATGATAAAAATAATTTTTACTAATGCATGCTTAATGACAACTTTTTTTTTTTAAACTTTCACTTACTTTGATTGTTGGGCAACATTATCGACTGCAGGTGAAACGGGTGTACTTGACTTCTTCCGGGAAAACAGAGTTTGGTCCGTGCTCAAAACGCACAGGATTAGGATCAGGACCGCCTGCGTAACGAGAAGTATATAACTATTGTCGTATGGCATTAATAATATGTATATTATAATATTTATAATATGTATCAACATTTTAACGTTTGTCGTGATATAACTGTACAATTATTAATGAAATTAATTAAAATTGTACAATATTATATTGCCAACATGATTTACTATAGGCGCATAAAAAATATACATTTATGACATTAAAATTGTTAATATACACAAMATTGAATGTACATAATATGCGTAGTGTAAGTGTMATATTATAATTTTACGTACCGTAGGGGCGACGTGTTTGGCGTTGGAATACATGACGTGAATTGTGACGAAAGACTCGTTTTGGACGCTACCAACCCTATTTATATAGGCACGAATAAGAAGGTAGAGGTAGTCCTACTGCCTGGTGCTCCCGTACACCCACGGGAGGATGAAGACGAGGGTTACGAGGAGGAGATGTACGGYGTCGGTGCATCAAACACGAAACCGAAACGGATAATAATTATCTACTTCGGTGGAAACAGGAATTAAAACGAGATCGACAAACTGTGTTACCTATATAATATATATATATACGTATTAACCTATAATAAGGGTACAATAATTTTCCCTTCGTCTTGGGCACATCATATGCGTGTAAGTACGCGCGCATTTCGTCCGGACCAACCTTGTGGTTCTACCACATTCCTGAATTGTTTAAGAGCTATATTTTTTATTTAGGAAATCCTAGAGGAGTCCAATAATGTATGTGTGTGTTAAACACAGCTCGTTTTTAAAGTTAATTCACTATATAGCATAAAAGCTATAAAATTATGTAGAAATATAAAAATGATTAAGAAAAGAATGCACCGGTATTCGTTAGAAATGAAGATGATTTTTTTTTTATTATTATTGTAAGCAAACTTGAKATTAGCTTATCATCTAATTATAGTCTAAACCAAATACAAATAAAATAAATWAAATAAAATTTTAAATAGTTGTCTGATAAATTATACTTACTCACGTCCATAAATATTTAGATACGATAAACAAATAAAAACAAAAGAACAACACACTCTTAGAATGTTGACAAGTAATAGGTACTTATTGTTGAATAACATTATAATACGCGTAACCATTTTCAGCCAATGTATCTTTTTGGCCAATTTGTTATAATCGTTAAAACTATTTCAGTTATTACCAATGTAAACAATTAAAATCAAACAAATTTTTATTTTAAAACCATACAAACACAATCATCTACTTTATTAGTACTTTTTTGTCAAATATTTGCAAATTATTTATTTTCTTTATCATTGTTCTAATTGAGAAAAATTGTAATATATTTTTTTTCGTTGAACTCGTCAAACTACTTACCTATATTATTAAAAATATAGGAATGTATATTATTAACTAATTAAGCTACCTGCATCAATTAAGAACTTATTGTACTAACATGATCCAATGGTATATTTTATATATTATTTTAAAGATTAAGATTTTTTTTGCATATTTTGAACAATGAATATTAATTATAATATCTTTATGACTATATAATATAATACTACATTCACTAAATCTAATAGAATATATCGATAAATAGTCGACAATAGTATTATGGGTGTATATTTTTTTAGATATTATAGATATTGTATTACACCTTTATTTTATAAATATCTTTAAAATTTTCAAGTAATACACAATAATACACATAATTTTCTTTACAGTATTCAAATAAAATATCAAAAGTTTTTTTCTAAGTTTATTAATACATTTGAATTAAAATTAATATGAGAGCATATTTTATATGCAGGTGCAATTTTTTTTTACTTATACTTAATTATAACTAAGTACATAAATTATACAAATTTGTTTTTATATAAATAAGGAGGTATGTTTGATAGTAAATTGCATAATATTAAGTACATGTAATATCTCATCCATTTTGAAATGCTTTAGTGTCGGTACATGGTTTTCATCTTGATGGCTACATACACTACCTATATATCTTTTGAGAATTTTGAGATGTCAAAACTTCGTCATTTCATATCCACTTTGGTACAAGCAACGTAACAATATGCTACATAATCAGGACACATTTAAATTAAATCAAATCAATCTTCTATATCTCTAAATTCAAAAATAATCCAAGAGTAATGAGTATAATATAACCTAAACCAATTTAATATATTCCGTATAAATCATTTTTATATTTATTAAATCGATTGATCAATATTAGAATTTTAATTTGTTTAAACCAAGATTTTATATCAAATGTGAACTATACTAAATATTAATTATTATTGGAATTGGGCTGTATCTACTCCTAAAGATAGCCTTATTTATTGATATTCAATATCGATAGTCATTAGTAATACATTTCAAAGAAAATAATAAATTGCATTTCTAAACATGAATTATAAATATCTATAAATATGAGTCTTAAACAACTTTTCTGACCGTATATATATTTATAAAATGAGGAATATATTATAATGGCAGTCTTAAATGAACGAAAGTGAAAACTTGTGCGAAAAACTGGGGAGAGTACCTATGAAACATAGGTACTTGTCATTAAGTAAAAAAATTTCAATTTAATTTAGAAATGTTGAATTTCCACCGAAATAAAATTATGTTTTTCTAAATCAGTTATTGTTAAATGTGACGGGAAAATGAAAAGTGGTCATAATAGTTTTTATGGTTATACATTTTCCAAAGTTCTGCGAAGCTATTGAATATTGATTGTAGTAGGATTTATGAGATGTGCTTTTCAGTGATGTTCGTTTAAAATTGTTCATTAACACTCCAAGTGTTTGTCAAATTTTGATCAAGAAAGGAACCTTAAGTTCAATATTTTGGTTATTGGACTCCTATAAAAATTATGATGACTGATGATAAATTAAAAATTACCTTTAAATTAAATTTGATCAGCAATAAAATTTCAGGCTAGGCGATTTATGATGTAACATTTGAAATATTATATTCATTAGTATTACTTATAAATTATTGTTCTTGCACCTATCATCGTTTCTACTATAAGTATAAGTATTTTTTTTTTTTAATTTAAATATTTTTCAAATTAAAAATAAAGATCTTCAAACATTTGTGAATTAACCTATATAAGTTCTAAAAATGTTTAAATKAAATTTATTTTACTATTTTTTAATATTGGTGACGTGATCGCATGCGTGAAAATAATTTATGTGTGTTATATATAGGTACTATGTAAATATTACATTTCCTACCATAYTAACTGCATATCCACACACTAAAAAACGTAAACAATGAAGTCCGACCAGCAATTAAACTATAAATAAAATATTATGAATTATGAGTATACACCGTTTGGACCACGTATAGATCATAATCTATACCCTGGTTTAGACAGAACGTTTTTAATAACCAAGCGTATCGTTTGCATTTGTTTTATCATCGTAGTATTGTGTCCGACAGGAACTACGCGTTGCTTATATACAAGTATATATTATATTACATTTTATGAATACACATAGTTATACATGTTAACCTGTAACAGATATTATTATAGGATAATCGTAYATCGGTTTTTATGACTTATGAATAAATATTAGAAAAATAAAAATTATTGTACAATAAATTAAAAATTACTGTACGCAGTCTACTAAAAACATTATCATAATGAAAGTTGAAATACACGAAACACCCATCACCATAAATAGGTAYGGTTTCATGTTAAAATAAATGAAAATAAGCACCTACGTTATGCACAGTGGATTGGAATTTTAATAGTTTAGCGATTTTGAAGAATAGCAAAATACATTTTAATTGAATTATTTAAATATTTTAAACATTCACTGCCTATATTATAGAATAACTTTTATTAATGTTATAAAAAGAATAAAAATAAAAATCAATATAAGACGTAACATTATAACAACCGTGCAATATAACAATATAAGTATAATAATCAATCAATAATTACCTTTTTTTAAAATTTTTTTTCCGTTAGTATCGAGAACCGGAGGAGGAACCATGGTGCCAATACTTCTCCTCCGGATAATCAATAATTACCTAGCATATATAATATACAAAAATAATAAAATGTTGTATACATTAATGTYTAGAATGTTTAGATACAAAATATAACTAAGTGTCAAGTATGATATTGTTATATTATACACACTGGTCATTGGTAGCCGAGTGTAGCATTGTATAGGTATAGATACTGTCACAATAGAATAGGTATGTGGAGTATAAAGCAGGGACTTTGGTTTTAATTTTTCCATCAACATTTTCATACTTTTTATTAAATACTCCGCATCTATATTATAAAGTAATTATAAATTATTTGATATGTACCCATTGGGTAGGTAATGCATTATAAATATCCTTGGCCCTACCAATAAATGCATTCATTCTGTTATAGTAATATTCAACATCTAAAATAAAAAAATTATTATTTGATTGATTAGATACCTATATATATTTTATAATAATATACAGTGCCACTATGACACGTTCATGAAATATTCGAATCCCTCGGGTTTTGAAGATACCTATACCCTAACCGTGTTACACATCCCATGCAAATACTTTAAGTTGTGGTTCATATAAAATTATCAACACATATAAATATTAACTAAAAAGTAAACATGTCAACCGCAGTTATGTTATGTTTGATATTTTCAGGCGATCTGTGGTGTTTAATGAAAATAATATTTAGCCAATGAGGCAATGACCAATTAATACCAATATCCTGTCTGGTACCTACCTATATAACATAATGACAAACCGAGAAATCGTTTCATCCGTTCAGATGCGAGGTTTGATCTTGTTATTTTCATTTGGATGATAGGATA